TTTGAGAGAAAGTAGATCTGATATGTCAGTAGAACTACAAATGTACTATATATATATTTCATTATTAAAGGGCTATTAAATGAGAGAGAAGAGAATCCTAAAAATAGTTAATAGTTATAGCGGCATATACAGCTGATATATATATGGTCCTATGCATCCTATTTTATTAACTTTTGCACTTTGTAGTTACAAACAATATCTCTATATTTGAAAATCATAATAAGGTAACAAAATAGAAAAATATATTTTTAAATAATACATTCTATTAAGAAATTTGTAGGTAACTATTTTTTTGTTTTAATACTGTGAAAATATACTAGTACTGGTAAATATTTGATATATTACCTTTAGACTTCGAGTTTGATTAACAACGATCTGAACATTATTCCTAACCAACTGAGTTCTGGTCAGTTTGGCAAGAAACATGTTTGATCTAACTATTAGTGCAATGGGCCTCCAGAATTTTTGAATTTTGATAAAAAAATCCTGAAAAAAACTTAAATCCTTAATCTATTACTATTTTTGTTTTGTAATAAAAAAAACATTTATAAATTTACCATATTAAAAAATACTATGTAATGTTAAGTTTACTAAGTTAAATAGTCAAAATATTTATGTTACAAAATACATTAACTACAGGCACGTGGTTGGTGGAGATCTTTAAATGAACCAAGAGCTATTCCTAGACGAAAGTAAATGCAAAATAAATATTTTTTCTTTAATCATAATTTTTTGATGTCATATTTTATTTACAACCTATTTATTTGTATAAAAATAAAAAATAAATGAAATGTTTAAATCTTCAAACATCTTTAGTTCATCCATCAGAGCCATAGTTAAAATATTTAAAACTATAATATCCAAATACAACCTTTATATAAGGAACATCTTGATCTATATAGAAGCAATTGTTAGTCACAAATTGGGACGTCTGAGCAATTAATTAAAGCGTTTTATATTTAAATTGTTGCCGTATTTTTACATTTATATCTACACCTACTAGTTGTGCCCCATAATGATATTACATAGGTTCCGATTGGCTTTATATTTGCTTTATATAAGAATGATTTGCCGAGAATTCAACATTGCTTCTGATTAGGGTGCCATTTTCAATAAGATTAGTTGCCTCAACTTGATTAATAAATGAACGCTTTTGATTTCTAACAACAATGAGATAGTCTGAAATAAGTTTTAAAAATAGAATTTTTGACACTCGCAATAAATGTTGGGATAAATATTCGTCGACTTCTTTAAAAAAGGACTTCATTTAAGTTAAAACAATTAAACTTCGATAATAGTTCGGATATGGTCAATTCTGCATGGCTAGCGAATCCGAATCACTTCAACATAACATGTTCATTTCATGATTTTATGATAATTTTTCATGATGTTGAAAATATGTTGAAAATTTTAAAATTTTTGTTTAAAGTAAATTCAGGATCTGGAGAAAATAGAAAAGCCGCTACTTATTTGAATCTAAAAATTATTCAGATAATTTTTGATATAGTTACTAAACAAGTTGTTAACGAAAAATAATTTAGTCCTGTTGGTGATGAGCTCCATGTGCCTCCGGCATTCGTCAGTTTTTGTTACATATATAAGTTAGTAAACCTATCAGTCTAATCTTATTATTTTTAGGAACCTTGGAGCGACTCTTAGAACCTCGCATACAATGTAACATAAAATTTATGAAAATCTCGCAAGCAGAAAATGCATAAGCCAAATGCATTTCATAATCTAATCTACTAATGAACACTCTTCTGGGTTTATTCAAGATTGAAAAAGCCTATCAAAATATAGAGTTATCCCTTATCAGTTTCATTGACATTGGGTTTTCAACAATTTAGAAGAAATTCTATCTAACATGTATTTATCAACCAAATGAATAATAATAAATAACAATAAGATTATTGATATGTGTGTTTTGATAGGGTTTATTATATAAACCAGAGTTGACTGTTTTGAAAACAAACATAACAACAGCTCTTATAAGATTCCACGTGTTGTCGATCATTCTAACTTCCCATTAAAGCAGTCAATACAAAAAACATTGAGGAACTGCTTGCTTTGTATATCAAAATTCTTCAGTAGTCTCTTTTGCTGCCTTATCCGATTTGTGGTTATCAACTATTCTATGCACAGAAACAATAAAAAGATACAGGTTGAACAAGTGTTAACACCTAAGCATTGTCTTAGGTGTTAACTGAAATGAAGGACAAAATAGGTCAGTTTTCACTGGTACAGTCTGTACTGGTATAGCACAGAGTGTCAAAATTGTTCGGAGTATGTGTCAATATTTTTAAATTAAACCCATTTTAACTAAGGAATACATTATTTCAGTAATTGTCAATTCTTCTCTTAAAAGTTTTTGTTGCGACAGACATTTGGGTCTTTGAACCGAAAATTGCATTGATCTGGTTTCTTTGCCGACACAAATAAAATTAGTTTTTTTGTTATGATTAAAATTCAAAAAAAAACATTTAAAATGGCAAAGTTTTAAAAACCTTAAAAAAAAAAATAACTAAAATTTCTAAATTTTTTTGTCATAACCGAAATAATTCCAAATAAAAAATTCAAAAAGACTAAAAATTTCAGTATAATATTTTGGATAGTTCAATCATGAAATAATTACAAATAAAAAATTCAAAAAGACTAAACAATTTCAGTGTAATATCTTGAATAGTTCAGTTATGAAATAATTACAAATGAAAGAAATGTTTTTTAAATTTAATTGACAGTGATCAAAACAAAATAAATAATAATATTAAAAAAGCAGACAATTTCAGTGTAATAACTCCTCAACTGATACGCCACTTTATCGTCTTGTTTATGACTCATCAAAACAAGAAAATAGAATTCATTCCTAAATTTAAACAAATAAAAATAATGCCTCTACGAACAGAATAGTATTGAAATTTAACAACTAAAAATAAAAAATATAATTAATTAATTAATTCAATTATTCTACAGCTGGTTTATGATTTCTTTCTAATATAAACACAGCAAGTAAAATTGTTAATAAAAACTTTTATAGCAAAAGTAACAAAACTCCAGAAATATATGCGAACATAAAAAGTCAAGTACGGCTTTGGATCAGTTGGTTAAGGTGGGCTGATTCTGAGCTTCACATTTGGCAGGACCCGAGTTCGATTCCTGGTACTTGCAGTCTCAAAAATAATTATTTACGAATAATTAAATACAAGAAATATTTCCAAGATGATGGATATTTGGCAATGATCGAAACAGCTGTATGGTCAGCCAAAAATTCAACTAATTAAAACAATATAAAAGATAAATATTTTTTGTTGTTGTACTTCACTACTGTTCGAAGAAACCTCTACAAATAAATTTAATAAATTTTAATTTGATCCGAGCATTTCAGTATTATAACTCTGTTAGTTCATGCAAATTTAAATAAACCATCACTTTATCGCCTTGACGGTGACTTGTGTAACCCCGCATATTATTTTTAAATTAGTGGCGTGTTCACTTTATAATCTATTTTTCTTTCAGAACTTATTTTGAAATTAGTTTCTATATAATAGCATATTATTATTTAGCACTTTTGCTTTATGTCAACATTTAATCTAATATATTATTTCACACTTGAATTTTATGCTCTATCTTCTGAGAAGCTCATAGCTTAAATAACTTTTGAATATAAAATAATTTTTAATTTCTAAGTAAACAAATATAAATAAAACGAATTTAATGACTATGCGCAAAATTATATTCGTAAATCTATATAAATTTTTGCTCACAGTTCCAACTATACAAATATATTTATACAACTAAAACTAAAACAACTTTGTTTACATTTTAATCTGAGGTTTATATCTGACATATACAGAATATTTAAATTGCTTCTTTCGTAGTTGTTTTTATTACTTTGAATGTTATATTGTTAATTTGAGTGTAGTTAAGAACCTTTAAATATTTTTTGGCTTAAATTTTTTTATCGCCATAAAGATTCGTTTATTTTAGGAGAAGAAGTCTGACATTTAATTAGGTCTAGTACTATTTAAAAAGTAGTAGTACTACTTTTGGTCAGTGTTGGTTGGAAACAAATCCTGTTCAACATTTGGAATATCCATATTTATGACAATTTTAAACAAAAAAAAAAAAAACATTTTATATGTTTCTGTCATTAGGTTAAATATAAGAGAGACAGATTTGCGACATATTTTATTTAGATTTTTTATTAATTTGTTGCATTTCTCCAGGATTCTTGAAATTAACAGTACCAGAACACAACGTGTATTCAACTTAATATATTATCATTTATGTTTTGTTTTTAAAGAGATATAATGAATTGTGTCATGATTGAGTATTGTTGAGAACAGCTGTATAAATTATACATATATGTATATGTATATAAGTTTCACCAACTTCTGGAAAAGTTTTAATTACACACTGATGAACTATGCATGCTGGAAGTAAGGCAGAGTTTTAGTAATACCTTCGTCATTATAAATAATTATAAAAACTAAAAAATTTCCTCATTTTCGGCACTATTATAAAAGCAAGATGAGGTGACGCTTCGTAACGCAGAGCAAAAATCAATGCACCTCTCCATCCAACCGCTAGTCCGTTACAGACTATTTGATTTTGTGTTATTTTTAGAATATATTAGTGTTCTAAACACTTACTGTACTAATCTGAATCTATGTACATATATATGAACATGTATATTTTACATGTACGTAAATATTTACACAAAAAGAATATTATATATATTATTTATACACATTACTTTAATTATCATAATAATTTGTTTGCATATGGATTATTTATCCAAACATTGTTAAGCACAATGGGGGCGTACTGCTCCAAATACATTGTAACATGTAAAGCAGTTGGTATAAATAATCTTATTCTCACATAATAAAATAAACAATATTAAATTAATTTTTGTATAAATGGGCTATTATTGTCTTATCGGCATGTATATGTTATTTATCTAATTATCTAAAAAGTACGCAGTAGCGAAAACGCACATGTTATGTTAAAAATAAATAGTTTTTTTATTGCAATCATTTTTTATCAGTAAACATTATTTAATCGTACTTTAAAGTACGATTTATAAATATGACATTTTGAAAAATATGACAAATAAGTACATCAATCTATTGAAATTTAACTACAGTACGTAAACCTTTACCCCCTAACATAAAATCAAAAGCATCATTAATTTTCTCAAGCGTAACATTGTGTGTAATGAATTCATCTAACATAATCTTTCCATTCATATACTCCTCTACAAGATGTGGCACGTCTATTACATTGAAACCTCCATAAGCCGAACCTTTCCATGTGCGACCAATCACTAAATTTACAGGTATTGTGCTAATTTCTTGCCCCGTAGGTGCAACACCAATGACGACCGCAACACCCCAACCACTATGTGTAGATTCAAAAGCAGCACGCATTGTATTAACGTTGCCAACACTTTCAAAGGTGTAATCAAAACCGCCACCAGTTAATTCAATGAGGTATTTCGAAATGGATCCCTCAACGTCTTTGGGATTCACAAAATCAGTAACACCAAATTTTTTGCCTAATTCAAATTTCGCAGGATTAATGTCGATCCCATAGATTTTTGAAGCACCAGCTCGTTTGCAGCCCATAACGACAGCTAAACCAACACCGCCAAGTCCCCAAACAGCACAAGTACTACCTGGTCTTACCTAAAGTTATATATAATTATACGAGAACAGGATATTACTGAGTAAATATTTTGTTATTATTATTGAACACTTACTTGTGCAGTGTTAATTGCTGCTCCATAACCTGTTGATATGCCACAACCTAATAAGCAAACTATGTCTAACGGAGCTTTTCCATTAATCTGCATTAAAAATATATACACATGTGATATTACAAATATCAATACGCATAAAATTATTTTGTTAATTCTTTTGTCCAATGTGTCTCGTCTTATAACGAAAAAATCTATTTATAAGTTAGAATGGTTCGAACAGTAATGAAGCAACAACAACAAAAATTTTAATTAATTTGTTGAAATTTGACTGACCATACAACTCTGTTTCGAGTATTGCCAAGTACTCATCATCAGGGATCTTACGAAATATTCGTGTTTTTATCAATGTCAATTCGTTGAACTTGTGTTTTTAAAAAAGCTGTAGTTTATAAGCTCATTTTAATTTAAGAAGCATGACAATTTCATTGCTTGGTGTCACTTACGAATAAAATGACAAAAAACTTGGAACTTGAGCATTGAAAGTTTGTACAGCCTTGGTAACTTGTGGAAAAACACGATTAGTCTTCGTTTCTAATTTGACAGGCACAAGTTTTAGGTCTGGAACTTGCAGTCCAATAAATTGTATACGTACTAAAAACTTATTCAATAAAAATTCGAATATTTCTTAAAATCAATAATAATGAGTACTTCGGAATACTCGAAACAGCGTTGTATGGTTAGCCAAATTTCAACAAATTAATTAAAATGTTTGTAGTCGTTTCTTTATTACTGTTTGCACCCTTGTAATTTGTAAAATTATTATTTTTTCAAATAATAATTTCTTTAAATAAATTCATATATACTTACCTTACATAAAAATATATCATCAACAACTGTATACTCAGAAAATGTAGAAGTGCCCATATAATGATGTATTGGCTTACCTTTGCAAGTGAAAGGCGTTTCACCGTTTAGCAAAGTACCCTTACCTAAAGCAATGGCTCCCGGTACATCATGAATCTTATCACAAATGTTTGTTTTGTTACTTTTACAAAATTTGCATTCATTACATTTTGGAACAAATACTGGAATGACATGATCTCCTGGTTGAAAGCCAATTACACCTTCACCAACACTTTCAACGATGCCGGCACCTTCATGACCAAGTATGACTGGAAAAAGTGCATTTGAGTCATGGCCGCCCCATGTGACGGCATCGGAATGACATACTCCAGTAGCAACCATTTTTATGCGTACTTGACGTTTCTGCGGTGGTGCCACTTGAACTTCTTCAATAGAAAAGGGCTTTTTAGCTTCCCAAGCAATAGCTGCCTTGCAAGATATGACCTTCAAAAAAATAAGCCTTCATTGTTTTAAAATAAAACTAAATAATTATATATAATTATACCACATATGTAAATACTACATGTACAGGAATATTTTAAAAACAATTTTTAAGAGATTTAATTAATGTCTAATGCTTTTTAAAATCACATAGAAATTAAAATTATATTTCTAGATGATTTAATCAATCATCAAGAATTTAATCAATAGTTTCTAATTTTTAGTACTGAAGCTGGCATATTCATATATTAGTGTTTTTGGGTATAAACCTAATATAAAGTAATCACACTCCACATATAATAATGTATAATACCAAACAACTAATATTTAAAAAATAATGATAATAAATTTTTTAGTGCTCTATTAATCTTTTCTATTCTATTAATCACATCATTTTGTATAAATTAAATAATTTTGCAATTAAAAAAAAATTCTATTTGTTTTATTTTTTTTATTTTGTATGATTTTTCTCACTTTTCCAGCAGTAGACATTTCAAGATGTGCGATGTAAAATATAAATTACTCAAAATAAAATTTTAATTAAATTGCACTTGTAAGTAAAACTACTTCAAACTTTCAAAACTTTCCCGCTTAACGCTTAGAATCCGTACTGTGCACGACAAAAGCTTCGCACAAATTGGAAGCAAAAGTTCTGTTGCAGATCATTATATCGCGTCATTTTTGCGCAATTAGGAAAAAAATAATTATTATAAAAAAAAAATATAGAAGAAGCGTTTATAAAAGTAAAAAAGTTGAGTTATTTAGCAAATACTTAATAAGAAAGTAAATAGAATAGAAAAATAGAAAAGCTGTTAATTCGATTAATACGCTATTATCAGTAATGGACACTGGGTATGTCCATTTTAAAGAAAATATTTTGTTATGACTGCATTTGTATGCTTTTTATAAAAAACTTTATGAGCATTTCAATTAAAATCATGTGATTCTTAAAAAATACAAATTAAAATACATAAAATTAATACATACAAATTAAAATACATAAAAATATTATTATACAAAATTATATTGCATTTATATTAAAAAATACTATAAATACGGTGTTTACGGTTTCCTGAAAACGTCCTATTAATTCTTGAAAGAATTCGTTAACCCAAGAAACAAAAACAGTGACGTAGCCAAAATTGTGTGAAGGGGATTCATTAAAAAATATTTTTTTCATAATGGCTTTGCAGTGTATTATATAGATTATATTAGTTAATATATCGCCACTATATAGGATAGAGTCCATTTTTAATATTCACGTATCCCTGTTAATAAGTTATCTAAAAGAATCGTTGAGTCCAAAATCTGCAAATATATCAAAAAAGGATTATCCGAATACAAAAACGCGTAAATTAATTTATAATTATTCATACAATCTACAAACATTGTGATGTTTTTGGAGTGTATTGTATAGATTATAATAGTTAATATGTCGCCACTATATGAGATAGACTCCATTTTTAATATTAACCTATCCCTGTTAATAAGTTATTTAACAGAATCGTTGAGTCCAAAAGCTGCAAATATATCAAAAATGGATTATCCGAATCCAAAAACGCATAAATTTATTTATTATTATTCATACAATCTACCAAAATTGTGATTTTTTTTGAAATATGGATAACGTATCTAGTTTTAAAGTTCGATTAGAGAACAACTGTTTGCAACAGATCGAAAATTAATTATATATTAATTTGTATATTAAAAGCAGAAATATATCCTTGGCATTCTGTATCAGAACAAAGCGAGTGCAATGAGTCGTACGATATAGATATAAACAGATCTACAATGTTAATGTAGTAAAGGTTCCCAATACTATTACAAAATAAGACTAGTGCTATTGAAGTCTCTAAAAAAACACCAAAATAAATTCCTAAATCTAGATACTTACTTATTTATTACAGTATTACTTATTACAGTATTGTCATTCATAATATGTACGTTCAGTAGAGGAAATAAAATAAATTATACTAGAAATACATATATATGTGAGTAAAAATTACTCTTAGAAGAAGGATGGAATAAGCAGTTAGACATTAAGAATGCAGAATAAGGACAGAATTTTCCCTATATTGATATTTTAAAATTTTTATACTACATTTGTACTACTTTTTAAGGTGGGCGCCTTTTTTGAAGAAAGAAAGATACCTCTTTTTTGAACAAGCTTCGAATTTACACTTTCCCATAAAGATATTTGTTATATATAGTACATATATTTTATTTATATATGTACAACTTCTTTCGCCTTCTTTGCAATTTCTTTTTCTGAAACTATCGCTTTTATGTTACCGTTGTTTTTTTGAAGAACGCAGCTTGCTTTTTTCTCATTCTCATTGACGGCTTAGATGAACAAAGTTTCTATTATATGAATCTACAATTTTTTTCTCGCGCACAGATTACACATTTTCCAAACTCCCATTCATAATTGAAACTTCCTCTTCCCGGTACATCTAGAAGTGTTGAATGACGTTTTGAAGAACGCAGCTTGCTTTTTTCTCATTCTCATTGATGGCTTAGATGAACAAAGTTTCTATTATATGAATCTACAATTTTTTTCTCGCGCACAGATTACACATTTTCCAAACTCCCATTCATAATTGAAACTTCCTCTTCCCGGTACATCTAGAAGTGTTGAATGACTTTGTTACAGACGGGGAAAATTATATTTATATAATATTTTTATTTACGTATTGTGGAGAAGTGCAAAATATCAATTTATGCAAGTTACTAAAAAGAATAAAAAGGCGGTATTCTGCTAAACCCCGAAAGAACGGCGATAGTTTTAATATTACCAATTTCTATTTGATTGATCGGATTGCTAAATCACTGGTTAAGCCTGTATGTTTTGTCAAAAACTTTCTTCATATAAGATTTCGTTTTTACATATGAAGCGTTTCAACTCGCTTTATCTGAAAAAGCTGAAAGCTTAATATCATAATCCTAGAATCAAATTTGTCTTTGCGTTAAATCTAACAAATCGTAAATAGAATAGAATGCTCCAGATTCTTATTATAACTTTGAAGAAAAAATATATATTATTTATATAAATATTGCTTCTTAAAATAACTTTGAAGAAAAAATATATTAATGAACTATTTATTATTATCTAAAGTTTGAAAAATTGCTGTAGGTGCATGCAAAGACATCAATAACGGCTAAAGCAACAATTTATAAAAAAAGAACAAGCTAATATGTTTGCATAACACTTAAATTAAGTCTTTCAAGCCAATTATAACCCTATAGGACACGATTTCCTCCATATATGTTTTTGTACTCGAAATATTTAGGATCACAACTCTATCATTTATATTATTAAGTTGTACTTATTTAGTTGTAAATATGAACTTAATTGTAAAAAGGCAACAGGGATTGTTTAATTATATTAAAAATGCTTAGAACTTACAAATTCACAAATAAAAAAAGTTACTATGGCGTATTTTTTCCAATTTTTTTCGGCAAATAAACATTTTATTTTTCTACATAATCACCTCGTCCACAGTAACAAAACAGCGCAAAAATTTGCTCGGATTACAGCTGAACATCGCTGAACACTCTTTTGAAGTGGTCACACGATTGCGCTTTTGGTCGAGTGTGAGCAATCGCGGCACCCCTCTCGCGGAAAGTTTTTTCATGTCCAAATATTGGTGTAAAATCATCCAATATCATTTCATGGATTTTAGCGACGATTTCTGGCGTGATCACTTCTTTTGGGCGACCTGAGCGTTCGGCGTACTAGTGCTAGTACGACCACAACGGAACTCTGTAAACCACTTCTTAATCATTGAAATTGATGGTGCCGAGTCTCCGCAGTATTCATCAAGTCTTTCCTTAGTTTCAGTGATGGATTTTTTACGTAAAAAGTAATGCCTAATCAGCACACGAAATTCACTTGTTTTCATTTTCGTAAAAATTCACGAGGTTGTCTGCTTTGAACGGCTATCAAACACCAACTGAACGAAATTAGGGTGTTTCGGGAAACCGCTTGAAACAGCTAAATAATCTGGGCATATCATGTAAGCTGTTACTAAGTTATTCCTGTGCCGAACTTTTAAATAAAAGATGGGAAAACTTAACGATATTCAGGTATCTGTATGCAATTTTGCAACGCTCCAATAGATGAATATCAAACTCTCTCATTGAGATGCCCGTAGAGATATCAGTCTTGTAAAAGGTTTACTTACAGGTCTTTGTATTTTAGGTAACCATGCTGAGACTAAATCTCCCTTTCAACCATAACTGTCTCAGTTTTGGTGAGGACGGTGAAAGTGCCTCCCATATGCTCTGTTTCTTTCCGGCAGATGCGCGGCTTCGTCTTTACACTTTAGGGGCTTTCTTTTTTGATGATCTTGGTGAACTTAATCGCCAGAATAACCTAACAGAACTTACCTAGGTACCTATAAATTAAAAGTCATTTATTGATAAATGTAACAATAATTATTAGGTAATTCAATAAAGTGTATTCTTTTCAAACAAAATATAGTATTGTTTTTATTTATTGTACATAAAACTTATTTAAGCATATATAAAAATAAAATAAGAAGTGATTGAAACAGCATTTAACACATATCATACATATGTATTAAATGTTACATATAACATTTCTAATTAATGTGTTTAAGCAAATATATAATGAACATAGATCCTAACCTAAAACAAGAACTTTGTAACGGTATTTATGGGGCAATATATACATATATATCATTTCGAACAGGTGTACTTTGAGACCTAGAAAATGCAATTCTTAATAACGACCCATCAAAAACATTTGCTTATAAGACCAATAATCTGGTATAAGAAGCACTTGAAATGAGGAGAAGCAAACAATACTAAAGTCACACAATCTTTATTCGACTTGGACTTTAAAGTTGTGATTCCGAAAGTACTACTTACTATTTTTTTGCTGGCGGTAGCTGTAATTCTTTGAGAAAAAAAGGACTTGTTACTAGCATTATTAACTGTTTGCCCCATATCTTAGCACAACTGTCGAATAAATTACATAATATAATATCAACTTAAGACTCACCTTAACATCGCGATAAATCTTCAAACAATACAATTAAAAACTAGTTCTTTAGTATTTAACAAGTTGTGGTCTTATCTTTAATGAAATCAAATCAAAGAATTTATGATAATAATAACAAAAAAAAAAAAAGAAAATTACTTTACTCTTACTTTATTATATATCAAGAAAGTACTGATTATGATGCCTAAGTATGTAATTCAATTCATTTTAATTTTTATATGCTGATATGATAAGGTCCCATGGCATAACATATAATAAATTTCATAAACTTATTTAATATAGAAAATACTTCAACTACAAAAAAGGTGTAATCGTTATATGTATATTTAAGTGTAACAATTTATTTATAAAGATTTAAAATAGTTTTTGTAGTATAAATATATAAACATATCAAAAGTATTTCAAATATAAGTTTTTTTTTCAAAAAAGATCGCATTAAAATTTAATTACACTGCGTATGCTTTTGCCTTCATGCATTAAATCAAAAGCTTCGTTGATTTTATTTAAATCCATAGTATGTGTAATAAATTCATCAACCATTAATTCCTTTTTAATATATTCGTCAACTAGCTTTGGTACGCCAGAAACACTTTTCCAGCCACCAAATGCTGTGCCTTTCCATGTTCGTCCGACAACTAATTGAAATGGTCGTGTGCTTATTTCCTGACCCGATGCGGCTACACCAATAATAACGGATGTGCCCCAACCCTTATGGGTAGCTTCCAGAGCTGCTCGCATTGTGTTAACGTTCCCAATGCATTCGAATGTATAATCAAAACCGCCATCAGTTAATTGTATAAGATAATCCTGTAAAGCGCCTTTATCTTCAACATCCTTTGGGTTGACGAAGTCTGTGAAACCAAACTTTCTGGCTAGTTCAAATTTAGACGGGTTTATATCAATTCCATAAACTTTAGAAGCACCAGCTTTCTTGCAACCCATACCAACTGCTAGGCCAACAGCACCAAGCCCCCAAACGGCACATACACTACCAGGGTCGACCTTATTTTCAATTTGAATTCAATTAAATAAAATTTGTTTCAAACACCTAAAATTTGTTGTTTTACCTTTGCCGTGTTAATAGCGGCACCATATCCAGTTGGAATGCCACACCCTAACAAGCATACTTTATCCAAAGCAGCATTGTCATCAATCTGAAAATTCACAAATATTACACAATAGCACAATGAATGGCAACACTAGTCAGAAGCGCAAACCTTGCAAAGTGAAATATCTGCAACTACGGTATATTCTGAAAATGTTGATGTACCCATAAAATGAAATACTTCTTTACCGTTGCAAGAGAAACGTGTTGTACCATCAGGCATAACTCCTTTACCTTGAGTTAGACGAATCTTTTGGCACAAATTTGTTTTACTGCTCTTACAAAATTTGCATTCATTGCATTGCGGAATGTACAAAGGTATAACGCTATCGCCGGGCTTGAAGCCAGTTACACCTTCTCCTACACTTTCAACAACGCCTGCACCTTCATGACCAAGTATAACGGGAAATACTCCCTCAGAGTCGAGGCCTCCTAAAGTATAAGCGTCTGTGTGGCATACGCCGGTGGCATAAATTTTAATGCGTACTTCATGTGCTTTTGGAGGTGCTACTTGAATTTCTTCAATGACAAGTGGTTTTTTAGGCTCCCATGCAACAGCAGCTTTGCAAGTGATGACCTTTGGGACACATAAGTATAAAACACACTCTCTTTATGCTTTGCACAAATAATTTCCATATAATCTATTTAAATCTATTAACACGTATACATATGAACTTACTTTGCCAATTGTAGCAGACATTTCGACAATGAAATTTGTTAAAAGATAAAAGCTGCAATAAAATAAAAAGACGTCGCCGGCACAAAACAACACCAAATAACTCCGAACTGAGCAAAATTCGATTAACAAATAATTTCGCGTGCATAAAATTTTAAAATAATCCGTAGATCACCGCAAGGTTGCATTCAAAAGCATTGCATTATATTAATTTGGCAAGAACATTATGTTAATATAAAAGTAAGAAGTAATGATTTTGATTTTATATTTTAAATCCGTATATACCATCTTAAGTAAACATACATTTTATTCTCTGGTAACAATTTTTTATATAGAAGGTACATGTTGGTTGAAAAGTTTTGAAAGTGCCATCTATTAACCAGTAGAAGAATCAATATTTATACGCCATTTTGACATTTCATATATCATTTAAACACACTAAGAAGTTTATTTGGATCTAACGTATTTTTTTTTACTAGTCGTTTGAAGCTGGCGTGTCGGTGATTTTGTCACAATGAAAAAATCCGCAATATTTGATTTGCTCGGCAGTGATAAAGTTCTATGTTTTGAAAGTTTTATCAGCAGCATAAATTCATACAAAAATGGTGAATGTGTTATACCAATCTATAAAGCGCAATATCACAGTTTTTGTTTAGGAATTTGTCCTACACACAAAGTAACGCTTCCTGTTTACACTATTTCAAGTGCATTGAAGCTAACTTACTGTTTATGCTGATTCAGCTATGATCACTGTAGTTAAGCTACACACAGTATTCTTTGTTTTCTTTATGAACGATGTTGCGCTTATGGTTCCTCCTATAGGAATCAACTTACATACGACAACCACCACCACAGTTATCTTAAGAATGCAAATCTCTGCATAATTGATTTGGTTAGCTTTTGCTTGATTCTTTAAATTCAGTTCGAGTCAAGCTAACAAACAACTTGGTCTAAGTTCTTAATGTATAACAAACTGATTTTGTGCATTATTTTATAACTATCGAAGAGATCTGGATCCACCATCATGATCCTAAACTGAAACAAGAACGTTTGCTCGCTCTGACTTTTACTTCTTCAAAATTTCGAAGCAATTCCTTTAGGGAAAGCGTTCTCCATCGAAGAATCCTTTGCAACCATGGAACAGTATTTTCCAGAGCTTTCCTAAAGTTATTACAGTGACGGCATAAAATTATTGAAGAATTGTTGGAATAATTGTTTTGATGTTGTGAGAGACTTTTTAAAAGAAAAATACTAGTTTTATTAAAAAATTCGCATTTTTTAATTTTAGCTTTGAAAATTTTTCAACTCTTCTATATATTAGAAAAGTTTCTGATATAAATTTAAAAAAATTGGGTAAGAGAATAAATTTAACCCATATTATTTGTTAGAGGTTGGAATTACAGGTCAATTGGTATAAAAATTTGTATACACATGAATTTAGATAAAATCCTTTTAAAAGATGGGCAATTCCATTAGTCAATTACTACCACTACCATTGTCCACTTCCTCCAATGTGGCATACGGTCTCAATAATTCTTCTAAATCTGACTCTATTTGGTGCTTCTCTATAGATGTCGTTCCATGTATATCTTACTTCAGCTAACTCACTTTCGACCGTTTGTCTCCACGTTTTCGCTAACGACCTAGGTTTTCTGCTACCTTGTAGATTCCATGCCAACGCTTGTCTTGCTATGTAATCTTTCGGTTCTCTAAGCGTATGGCCTATCCACTTTCACTTTGGTTTGGTTCAGCAGGCGT